CTTTCCTTTTTAATTTATTATATATTTTTGAGGAAAGTCAATTTATAAGCTAATATTTATATGTGCTTCACACTACAAATAACAAATGTCATGATAATGTGCGGAGCGTATCTCCTCATTACATTTTGAATTGGAAAATGTCATATATATAAAGTAAAAGTTGTATGTACATTTTTTTCTTACTGAATTTAAAATGCAATGTTCTTGATAACATTCTGTTGCGATTGAATTGTACAAATTTTATTAAAATATGTACTGTATCATGTACGCATTGCGTACACCGGACGGAGTACTGGTTGATATAACCAAAAGAGACCACTGAGGTTAATTTTGATTCCAACTTTAATAGGTTAACTTCTATTTTAAGACAAAGATTTTAACTTTAAAATCAATGATTTTCTTTGTATGTCATAATTAACCTTGTGAAAAATTCTCAAATGTTGTGATGATTGGTTTCTCCTTTACTTCCATAGTAACGTTTGCGTAATTTCGAAGTCGTTAATATTGCTTTTTCTAGTTGGATTGGATTATGTTGAATTACTAGAATTGCTTTTTGTAGTCACTTTTGGTTGTATCGATTAAACGCGGAATAAAGTTAAATCTATGGACCTTTGAGAGTGATTAATGGGGAAAAAGGAAATTTTGGGTGTCAAAGAACATAAAAAAAAACGGTTCAAGTAAAAAAACAAGGGGAAAAAAAATAAGGTCCTACCGGGATTCGAACCCAGGTCGCCAGATTCAAAGTCTGGAGTGCTAACCACTACACCATAGAACCGATATTCGAAAACTGCAATAAAATCTGTTATAACTTATTTAACAACAACATTCAAACATTAGGGATGAGCATAGTTCAGTTTAAACCGAACAAACTGGCCGAAATTTTGGTTCGGTTTGGGTCGGGTTAAAGTTTTTTCAACCCGAATTGCCCAAACTAATCGAATTGTATTACCCATTCTAATTACTATTTGCATCCGCTTAACCCGATCCATTATAGTTCATATAGAGTTGCTTCGTTGCAGCTTGATATTTTTTCTCTCACACAACCTGATAGTGATGAAATACCCCAACAATGGTGTCCTCTCCAACTCTAAGGTTTTTCATCATCTCTAGTTCTCTATCTCTCTCTATTATCTATTCGCTTCTTCTACTTTGGACAAATCCATATTGAAGGTAAGAAACTTAAACCATAATGTTGATTCTAATATTTTCTTAATTTTCTCCTCAATTGATACACATAATGCAAGAGAATCTTTGGATCAGACTTCTCTTTGGGTCATACTTATAATTTTATAGAAACTATACCCAACATCCAAATTATTACATTTTTTTCTTTTGTCTATCAGATTGAGATAACTTTAATTCTTTATGTAAGATTTCTCTAAAAAAATTGATGTAAGCTTTGGCTTATTCTGATTTCCACATCTAATATTCAGTAGCATTTGATAGTTTATGAATTTTAATAAATTGAAGTGTAATAGACTTCTTTCTATGTCAACAAATTAGAGGTGAAATTAAATTTGGACATAACATTTGTATATAAGTGACAACCGAACAAACCGATCTGAACCGAACCGAACCGACTTGAATCAGTTCGGTTCGGTTTTGAATGATAGACAGTTCGGTTCGGTTTGACCAAATTTGGCCAAAGACCGAACCGACCGACCAACCGATTGCACAACCCTATTCTACATTTTATGCATCTTTAAATAACCTAATTAAAATAAAGTAAATAGAACTTTTTCCGTAAAGATATACATGATAATGTACAAAATTGATTGGTAGGTGTATCTCTCTAGTATTATAAGCCAATTACTCAAATATTTGCAATTTGATACTGAGGGGGGGTTAGTCATCTAGAACTTAAAATTGGAATTGAGATAATTTATGGGATAAATTTTTAAGGTGTTAGTCGCATAGAACTAGGAAATGTGATATTTTTATATAGTGTTAGTCAAGTAGAACTTTTGTAGAACTAGAACTGTATTATTTTTTTGGTGCGTTAGTCAAGTAGAATTCTACTAGAATTAGAATTGGGATAATTGGTCATAATTATCCCACAAATTATACTACCTATATATATAACCATAAGTTCTATTCTCTCAAATTATCCCACACATTGGAAAGAATATAATTGGGAAAAAAAGTGAAACGCCGCCTCCCTCCCTCTTGGTTAGTTTCTCCGCCTAGAAAATTTCTCTGCCATGAAGTCAATCATCCGTTCATTTTTCTGTCTTTACTTTGTTTTTGTGATGATTAGATCTTTTATTATTATCTTCAAGATGTATTACTTTATTGATAGCTTTTTGACGTTAAATTACTTTATTATTATTTGTTTGATCTAAGTTTTCTCTCCACAACAGTGGTTTAGGTTAAGAATATAGTGTTGGTGGGTTAATGCTAAAGTTATGCAGGCTATTTATGTTTTTTTATAAGTTAGAAAGCAACTTTGCGATCACATTGATTATTAGATGTTAAATGGTTAATGGTGATATCTATTATTATTAAATCGGCTCACTAAATTGATTGAGATATTTATAGTTCATCTGTCGATCATCTGTTTAGCGGCCATGGATGATTTCTGTGTACATTTTATTTATTTGCTAATTTGGTTTCAGCGATCATGATGAGATTGGTCCAAATGGTTAATGGCTGAAAAATACTTATTTTTATTTATTTATGATGTTATGAGATTTGAACTTCGACATTTATGATCCTCCACTAGAAGCTCCACAAAATGTTCCTGATACAGACGATGACTTTAATAAAGAAGATGAGTTACAGACTCAACGAGCAGCTGTAGGAGCTTGGAGAAATTCTATGGCAGATGTCATGTGGGATGATATAAGCCATGTGGGATGATGGAAGTCGAGTCACTCTAGGGATTTAGATTTTATTTATTTGTAAATTTTTTTATTATTTGAGATGAATAGTGATGCTTTATTGCATTATATTTTATAGTTATTACTAGAATTTGCTTATCAATATTATATTATTTTTAATATACAATTATGAACAATAGTAATTTATACCCACCATTACCCCCACCACATTATCCTACTAAATTATGCAACTTCATAATATTATCCATCATTATTCCATCAAATTATCCTACCAAATTATCCCACTTTACCAATTATCCATCATTGTTCCACTAAATTATCCCAGTGTCAAAAACCAAATTATCCCACTTTACCAATTATCCATCATTGTTCCACTAAATTATCCCAGTGTCAAAAAATTATCCCACTTTACCAATTATCCCAGTTCTATCAAAAAATTATCCCACTTTACCAATTATCCCAGTTCTACTTAAAAAGTTCTAGGTGACTAACCCCCCCTGAGTATTTTCTCACGTTACCTCCTGTATTTAAAAAGATATTAAAATTCTATTAATTTTCTGAGTGATCTCATTAATCATACTGTTTTATGCATCATTTTTTAGATCAAGCTCATATTATTGGCCTCACAAACTGTGATCTCATTACTTCAGCATTTGGAAAGTTCCTCAACAGCACAATTTACATACCAAAAATCATGAATGATGTAAATAAGCTAAATTTAATTTAGCTCAATAGCTTGGTTTCTCTTTAGTTTAAAAGTTTCTTGAATTTAAGAAATAGATTAGTAAATTCAATTGTAAATTCAACATTTTTATATAATGAGCCATGCTGGAAAAAATTTAGGAGATGATACAGTCAATTTAACATGTGGCGTTTGTTGCAATGACACTAACCTAATCCCACTTTTTGGGCCTGTTTGTTTCGCAAAAAATTGCAGAAAGTGAGGGAAAGAAAATGAATTTTGATGTTTTTATCTACTTATTGATGTTTTTATCTACTTTTTGATGTTTGGTTCATCAAAATTCGGAAAGAAAGTGAGAGAGAAAATGAGTTGTCACTAGGGGTGTTAACGGAGCGGATACGGCTCGGATATGACACTTACCATATCTATATCCGCTTACCCATCTCGGATACGGATACGGATACGGATATACATCAGTAAGAAAAATTCATATCCATATCCGCCAAAATCGGATACGGTTACGGATATAGATGCAGATATATAAACGGATATGCATGCGAATACAAAAAGGATATGAGAAAACTAGATAGTTTTAGAAAAATATATTGATATGATACAAAAAGAGTTCGTTAATATGTTCATTATGATTGAAAAGCTAAGATTAGACATCTTGATCATCAAAATTAACCACAAATCCATAATCTAATAATCGAAACTTTAGTAAGAGTATGACCAATATGTATTCGGATATTTTCGGATACGGATACGGATATTTCACTACAAAACCATATCCGTTACCATATCCTATCGGTTATAGATTTGAGTAACCATATTCGTATCCTAACGGATACGGTTACAGATATTTCCTCGGATATGGATACGGTTTGGCACCCCTAGTTGCCACCATATTATTGGATAAGATGGGTAATTTTTGATGTTTTCCTCTACTTTCTTTATTTTTTGTTCTTTCGTGTGTTTGGTTCATTCTTAAAACTAAGAAAATAAATGAGAGAAAATGAGCTGTCATTATATTATTGGATGATGTGACCCATACTTAGGAAAATCAATTTTCTTGTTTTTTGGAGGAAATGGATGAAAGGAAATTTTAATGAGATATGATAAGTTGTCACCATATTATTGGATGATGTGAGTAATTTTTAAAGATAATAGAAAGTGAAGGAAAGTTGGGTGAGGTGAGTTAGATGAGTTGATTGATATGACTCATTTTTTGTGTTTAGTTTATTTTTAAAAGTAAAAAATGAGATATGATTGGACGAGTTGTCACAATATTATTGGGGGAAAGTGGAGAAAGTGAAGGAAAGTGGGTTTAAAGAAAGTGGGGGAAAGTGAAAAAGTGAAGGAAAGTGGGTTTTGGATTCTAGGGGAAACGAAACAAACATGCCCTTTAAGGAAAAGAGGGAAGTAACATAAGCAGAGAAAACAGAATGCTTTACTTTTATTCTTTTTTGTACTCGATAGGATGCTTGACACCAAACTCTTTATTGACATATGATAAATTTGCAATAGCCACTGTCACATAAATATTTACTTTCCAAGGAAAAGTGCGTTGTCGGGCAAGAGTTTTATTATTCACATTATTGAACATAATTACAACTATATAACATTACATTTCCTTGCAATTTCCCACTCGAATTTATATTCCTCCATAACCAAATTATCCCTGGTCATATGTAGTTTCCTAATATCTCTTTGTATTCTACTAACTCTGTATGTGTATGTAGCTCCTACTAGGAGATAAACATTTCTCGTGCTCAGGTACAGGCAAATACGCAGAAGATTGGATCAAACCCCTCTCTTCATCATTAGGGAGTGAAGGAATGATGAGGTCCTCTTTATCACCGAGATTTGGTTCTTCGGTTTCAAGCATTAGATCAAAGTCTCTCAGGAACTTCAGCTGCTGGCTAAGAGAAGCTATTGTATTCTGGCAGTCTGCTAATTTTCCAGCAGCTACGGCAGTCTCTCTTTCCTGTAAGCAAAACAAGGCGGAGGCATTAAGGGTTTAAAATCAAAATAAAAAATGTTAAGCTGGTTTTTGCATATTCAATTCCTTCATGTTTGCATTTGTCATTGTCAGATTTGAAGTTTCTCTATGAATCTATTATAACTATTTTTTAGAGTTAGGTAGTTCCTTTTAACACAAATTTGTACTAGATATTAAAAACTAAATTAGTATGTTCATATTAGTATTTTTCTCAGAGTATCATAAATAAAAGGTGCACATTTGGAGATAAACAAAGTTTTGTGCTGGATTACCGTGTATTTGATGACTTTCAGTCTTATGGAACAGATATTAATCCAAAGTTCAAGATGTTTATGGAAATATGATGTACATGAGAGTTCAGGGTAAGTATGTGGATTTTAATATCTTCAAAGAAAGTGGCAGTTATGCACATTTTAGAAAATCAATCAACCTTATTCTGTCCTAATATAATGAACATTAACAACTCTGGTAAACTAAATACAATTCATAATATGGTTGAATTATCCCGCATGATAATTCATAAACAGACCCGAAGCTACTCAGTTAGCAGGTAGGGCACTTCGAGTCTTAAAATTATGCAGCAGTTTGAGATTCATTAAACAGCGAAAATATTTTAGAAAAAATAACTAGCACAGTTGAGATTTACCTGTCTTATCTTTGGTTCCCTCACTGCGCGTACAGGCTGTTGGAGCTCCACATCCCACTTCATCCTTTCAAGCTCGTCCTTCAAGCTCCGACAATTGGCTGCAAATCCTGCAGACAATTTCCTCTCCTCTTCAGTTTCCTTCTCCAGAGAGATCACCTTCTCACGTAACTTCTCAACTTCCAGATTTGCCGATTCAAGCTGAGACTGAAATTCTCTGTGTTTCTCAGCTTCCTCTTCTAACAAATACACTTTTTGATGAAGTCCCCTAACTTCTAGATGCTTCGAGCTGAGCTGGGACTCAATTTCTTCTCTCTTTGCTTCTAATGCCTCCCAATGTTTACATTTAGCTGCAAAATTTGAAGATGACGCCCTTTCTGCATCAATTTCTTTCTCTAATATTGCCATTTTCTCTCCTAGCCTCCGAGCTTCCAAGCGTGCTGACTCAAGCAGAGAATTCAATTTCTCATCCTTTGCCTCTAACACCTGCACCCTAGATATCAAGTCTGCAGACAATGCCCTTTCTGTTTCAAGCTCCTTTTCTAATATTCTTATTTTCTCCCTTAGTTTCCCAGCTTCCGTATGTGAAACCTCGAGCTGTGACTCTAATACTTCTCTCTGTTCCTCTAAACCCTCCACCTTAGCTTTGAACTCTGCAGACAGTGCACTCTGCTCCTCTAGCTTCCCTTCTAACAAACAAACTTTACGTTGTAACTCCTCTCCTTTATATTTTGATGATGTAAGATTCGCCTCTAATCTCATCCTCTCATCCTCAATGGTCTCCATTTTCTGACACTTTGCTGCAAGTTTAGCAGATAAAGCCCTCTCCTCCACAATATCCCCCTCTAGTAAACCTACCTTCGTTCTTACCTTCTCGACTTCCATACTTACTGACATGAGTTGAGACTCCAGCTGCTTTTTCTCAAAAGTTAAGGCCTCTATATTCTGGCACTTAATTTCTAATTCTGCAGAGATTCTTTCAACTAACCCCACCTTCTCATGAAGCTTTTTAACTTTGAAATTCATTGCTTCGAGCTGAGACTCCAATTCTTTTTTCCTCGACTCCAGGGACTCTACTTCCATCTCAAAGGCATGCTTTGACCCGTTAGCAGAATTCAGCTGCCTCTGCAGCTCAATCAACTTATCCTCGGCTATTGTCAGCTGCTCATGAGAAGCATTAAGCTGATCTCTAGTTTCAGCTAATACAAGCTCCGTGTCTTGTTTATCAATTGCCATCTTCTCAATCTTCTCCTCCAACACCTTAATCTTGGATTGTTGAGCTGAAGACACGGCCCCTGATGGATTTTCTTTAGCAACTGATGGGTTTGTGCTTCTGTCAAGCTCAATGTTAGATACACCATTATTGGCTTCAGGCAATGCAGCAAGCCTTTCCATCTCAAGAAAATCATCCATCAGGTCAATCCCCAACGAAGAAGTGAGATTACTATTCAGGACCTTGTCGTTCTTGAACTGATCAAGTTCGACAACGAAAGCTGAAGCCCATGAATCAGAGCGACAGTCCCCGCTATCGGATTGGCTATCTGTAAGGCTCTCAGCACAAACTGAATTAGTTATGCGCTTGTTGTCTTTAAATGGTGATGACCTCTTTGCAGCAGCTCGTAGTCTACGGCATTCAGCTTCAAGCTTAGCAACCTTCTTTATACTCTCCAGATGCTGCTTGCTGGCAGTTTCAGCTGCATGTATACTAAATTCCCTCTCGAAGTTCTTCATCTGGAGATCATCAAATGCAGCAAGGAGCTCAACCTTGAGGGTTGAATTCTCTTTCTCAAGGGCTTGGAGTTTCAACAGGTGGTCATAGTCAATGGAGATTTTGGCTTCGGTTGTTCGGGCTTCTAGCTGTGCTTGGAGCTCAGTTACATGAGTCTCAAGCTCTAATTTTTGGGACTCCCATTCATTGGTTTTCTTAATGAGCGTGTCATTAAATTTTTGTTCCTGCTCTTCCCTTGATTGCCTAAGTTGCCTTACACATTCCTTCAGGGCACCATCAAGATTGTGAATTCTGTCTTCAAGGGCAGAGTTCTTCTTAGTTGTGGCTTCAAGCTGCTGCTTTAGAGTTGCAACCTCCAGTTCTGCCTTTTCCCACCCTACAGAAGTGTGTTTAGAGTTTTAAATACTTTGGTGTCTGAACGAATTTTAGATTTAAATGAGGCAGTGGACAGTATTATGATATGGCTGAATGGAAAAAAAAATGGTTTCTTTTCTCGATCAAACTGATCCTGGCATGATGAATACTCTTCAATCTTCGCAGCATCATAGCAGATCTTTCGTACAAGATGATAGCAGAGGTACGTTGATCATTCAGTAGAAACTTGTGCACAATTAATTTGTTTTACCTCAATGAATTAAGAAGTGCAAATTTCACTTTCAAAATAGGCAAAATCACACCCAACCATGGTTGATAAAAAAAAAATACTTAAGTGATACTTCTCCCACATACCAATGATGGATCAAATTAACATGGAATCTCAATATCTAGGAAGAAGTACATTTCCAGTCTATGAAGTCAAAATTCGTAAATATTGCAGTTGCATGATGTCAACATATTAGGCATTAACAATTTTCATTTTATCCAGGATAAAGTTTGCGCGATCTCTGTTTAATAAAAAGACAATAAAAGGACTACCTTGTTAACCTATTATGGATACATACAAATCAACATGACCCTGTTACCCATAATTGAACAACGTTGATCATCAAAATGCATGGGACATCAAGGTGAAAGTACAGGAATCAGGTATTCTAGCATAAACCTATAGAAAGCATCAATTAAAATTGGAATGTAATGCTTCAAGATTAACAGGATCAAGCTGCTTGTAGGTATATATGATTCATCCAATATATCAAGGGTGAGGTGACTGCAGTCTGCTCACATTAGAAAGAGATCATGGAGTAAAGCAAGCAAACCAATAATGAGAAAGAGGTTATTGAGTAAAGCAATTTCCTACATCTGATCCAAGTTGCAACAACCATAATTTTACCCATGCTTGAGTCACAGAAGAGAATGAATACAATAACATATCAAGAGAAGCTGTGAGTACTTGTGTTGGAAAGTGAATTTATATTTATTCAGAACCATGGACAATACTTAAATAATTAAAACTTCTTGTTTCTTGAGTTGATTTCTAATATATTCAATAAATAAAAAATAATCAAGGTATATTTCAAATGACTTAACTATCCCATTATTATGCCAAATTATAAAACTGATACCTGCAACAGCTTCCTCTGCAACCTTGGCATGTTGCTTCACCAAGTCCTCTTTTGCACTTATGTTGAAAAGAGCAGCCGATAATTTCTCATTAAGACTCTTTACAGTATCATTAACTTCACGACTAATGATTTTGGATGAAATGTCAGGTGAATGAGCATTATTTGGGGAATCGTTAACTGAAGAGCCTTTCAATGCCTCCTGTTAAAAAATCAGTACATTCATATCTTACTAGTTGTACCCATTCAAAGTGACAGATCAGGCATGAATTCGAACAGATAGGTTATCTTTGACAAAATGTTCCTATAGCTGAAGAATATTAAGTGAATATATGGAACATCTGAATGTAGTGCAATTGACGTAAATATATTGTTAAAGAATATGCTTGTTATGTTACGGAGTAATTACATATAGTATTCATATTACTAAAAAGTTTCTATCACGTTAATCAAAGGAGAACATGAATGTTAGTAGATTGAGGAGAAAAAATAAAAAGTAGAAGCTTCTGTGGAAAAAAAAATTGGGGAATACTCGGGCTATGCTAAACCCCTAAAACAGCAGAAACGCAATATAAAGAAAAGTACACCAAGATTTAACGAGGTTTGGTAAACTTGTCTACGTCCTCGGGAGCTACACGGTTAATTTCTTATAAATCAACAAGAAATTACAATGTAAGAGTAGATCTCAAACTTGAGATCTCTCAATAAAAAATTCATTATTGTAGCTACAGTAATAACCCTCTTCTTAAATACCCCCTTTAATTCTCCCCTCTTAAATTCCCTTTTTCTCAAACCCCCCTTCAAATCTCTGAAGGCGCTAGGAAAAAGAGAGCAGAGAGAGAAATTGTGCCGCCGCCGCCTAGAGTTTGAACTCGCGAGATGGGAGAGAGAACTGCCACAGCTGGAAGAGAAACGAGAAGAAGAGCCACCGAATCTCGTGCTCAGGGTTTCCCTTTTATAGGGAAACCCTAGCGACAGGCTGGCGATAGGCTGTTGCCAGCCATGTGCTTGTGACCTCGCCTGCGGGTGCCTCGACCTCGCATGGATCTTGCGATCTCGAGCTCGCCTGACGATCTTCTCAAGCTCGCCTCGAGCTCGTCATCGACCTCGTCTGCTCGCCTACGGAGGTTTGTGTCTACACCCGACACTAACAATCTCCCACTTGGAGCTCAAACCGCCATCAGTAGGCTATCTCAACAAACACCTTCTCATGTGTGGCTCCGTCTTCATCACCTATGCATAAAGGTCAACTGAAGTAACGCACAACTCCAGTTTTTGAAAGGTCACTACATTCGTCAACATATCCGTTGGATTCTTACTTCCTTGGATCTTCTGTTGAAATCCTTTGGCAACTTGTCGGGCTCTGTATCTTCTGGAACCATTCTGTTCCTTTTTCGCTCGATATACCCACTTGTTGTGATGTGCCTTCTTCCCCATGGGTAACTCAGCTAGTTCTCATGTTTGGTTGGAGATCAGAGATTTCATCTCTTCTTTCATGGCAAGCTCCCACTTGCTCGCATCTCTACTCTGACAAGCTTCATCAAAGCTTTCAGGCTCCCCTCCATCTGTTAGCAACATATAATTCATGTAATTGTTGTTAGGCACAGGAGGACGAGAAGATCTTCTTAATATCGGAGCTGGTACGTCGGGCTCCTGCGCACCGTTCTGTCCAACAGGCTCTTTTGACTGAGGACCTTCTGCATTGAGTTCTTTCGAGAGGTTGCGCGGGACATCATCAGCATCTACAAATGTTAACTCGCTCTCTGAGTCATTTGTCTTGTGCATGTCCTTGTACATCATCTTCTCGTTGAATATCACATTTCTTCTCTTGATCACCTTCTTGTTTTTGTTATCCCAAATACGGTAGCCGAACTCATCTTCACCATACCCGATGAATGTGCATTTCTTAGACTTGGGATCAAGCTTATTCCTGTCTTGATCACTAATGTGCACATAAGCTACACAAACGAAAACTTTGAGATATGAGAGGCTTACCTCCTTTTCGCACCATACCTCCTCTGGTATTCTGTGCTCTAATGAAACTGATGGACCTCGGTTAATCAAGTAAGTTGTTGTGTTGATCGCTTCTGCCCAGAACTGTTTCGGTAGGCCTGACTGTATCCGAATGCTTCTGGCTCTTTCTGTCAACGTTCGGTTCATTCGCTTAGTTACACCATTTTGCTGAGACGTGCCGAGCACGGTTCTCTCCATCCTGACCCCGTGCTCATAGCAGAACTTCTTGAATCTGGTGTCTTCATACTCACCAACATTGTCTGTTCTGAGTTTCTTTATTCTCAGACCGGTCTCATTCTCGATCATGGATTTTCATCTCCTGAAAGCCTCAAATACTTTTGACTTATGATTCAGAAAGTAGACGCACACTTTCCGAGAGTGATCATCGATAAAAGTCACGAAGTAGTGTTTCTCACCAATGGACGCGGTGGTGGTTGGTCCCCAAACATCTGAGTGAACGAGCTCTAGCTTATTTTTCCTGAGGGTTTTACCACTTGTTTAAAAACTGACTCTCTTCTGCTTTTCAAGTATGCATTCTTCACACATATCAATCTCTACTGATTGTAAACCTAAGAGTTTTTTCCTTTATGTGCATAATCTCCATCCCCTTTTCACTCATATGATCGAGTCTCTGGTGTCACAACTTTAAAGTCTCATTGCTTGCTACAACTGAGATCAAACAACATGCACCTGCTGTCATATACAGGCTACCAGTCTTTCTGTCTCAGGTAATTGTCATTGCATCTTTTAAAATCCTCCAATCATCACCATAAAAAGTCATAGTGTAGCTTTCACTAGCCAACTAGCTTACTGAGATTAAGTTCTTTTTCAGGTCGGGAATATGTCTGACATCCTTCAGCTCCCACACTGACCCGTTCAACTTAATCTTTACTATACCTTTGTCAATAATGGCACACTATTGTTCATTACCAAGGTATACATTTCTAAGGTTTCTGAAAATATACTTCTCGAGGAATTCTTTCTGAGAAGTAATATGGAATGATGCTCCAAAGTCCAACACTCAAGACTCCTCCTTGCTCTCCGAAAAGCATATCAATGCATCATCTCCTCCTGAGGTGGAAGCAACATTTGCATCTGCTTTTGCCTCATACTCCTTTTGTGCACTCTTGCACTGATTCTTGTAGTGCTCGGTTTTTCCACACTTCCAACACTCGATAGTCTTTGAGCTATTAGGATTCCTGGATTTGGACCCCCTGTCCTCTGATCCATTTCCTCTGCTTGAATCCTCTTGACTCTGTATGCAATACTGAAGAGGTTGTAGCTTCACTCAACTCTCTTCGTCGTATTTCCTCACTGAGAATCAGATCACGAACGTCATCAAACTTTAACTTGTTGCTTCCCGACGAGCTACTCACAGCTGTGACTGTAACATTCCAGCTTTCTAGTAGAAAAGACAAAAGGATCAACGTTCGTACTTCTTCATCAAACTCAATATCAACTGAACTCAATTGGGTCGTAATTGTATTGAGTTCATTGAGATGATGTGCTACCGATGCACCTTCCGTCATTCACAGATTGAATAACGGTCTCATCAAATGAACTTTGTTTAAGGCTGATGGCTTTTCATACATATTTGAGAGTGCTGTCATAAGATTCACCGTGGTCCTTTCCTTTGTAATGTTAAAAGCAACATTGCGGGTTAACGTCAAACGGATAACCCCGAGAGCCTTTCTGTCTAGAAGATTACAATCTTCTCCCTTCATACCCTCTGACTTCTTCGCAGAAAGAGGTTGATACAAATTTTTTAATATAGATTATCCTCTAACTATAATTTTCAGAATCCGAAATCTGATCCATCAAACTTTTCTAATCTCACATTTTCTTCATCTGCGGTCATCGCTCCCATTTAAATCTGACTTCCTCTAAATCGTTTCAGGCTATGATACCAGTTGTTGGGGAATACCAGGGGCTACGCTAAACCTCAAAAACAGTAAAAAAACAATATAGAGAAAAGTACACTAAGATTTAACGAGGTTCGGCAAACTTGTCTACGTTCTCGGGAGTCACACAGTTAATTTCTTATAAATTAACAAGAAATTACAATGTAAGAGCAGATCTCAAACTTGAGATCTCTCAATAAAAAATCCATTACTGTAGCTACAGTAATAACCCTCTTCTTAAATACCCCCTTTAATTCTCCCCTCTTAAATTCCCTTTTTCTTAAACCCCCTTCAAATCTCTGAAGGCGCTGGGAAAAAGAGAGCATAGAGAGAAATCGCGTTGCCGCCGCCTAGGGTTTGAACTCGCGAGAGGGGAGAGAGAATCGCCGCCGTCGGAAGAGAAACGAGAAGAAGAGCCACCAAATCTCGTCCTCGGAGTTTCCCTTTTATAGGGAAACCCTAGCGACAAGCTGTCGCCAGCCATGCGCGCGCGACCTTGCCTGGATCTTGCGATCTCGAGCTCGCCTGACGATCTTCTCAAGCCTCGCCTCGAGCTCACCGTCGACCTCACCTGCTCGCCTGCGGAGGTTTGTGTCTACACCCGACACTAACAGTAAAGTTATTAAGTGAAAACAACAAGCTTAGACTAGGAAAATGTACCACAGAACTAATAGGGAAAAGCTTGATTATATTTGACAAGAAAAAAAACTGAAAATAACAGATAACTAAATTTGAGCTGAAATTCACAGCTATTGCACCTCTCTTTCCTCACACAGTTCTCAAAGTCTGGAGAATGCCAAAATGTTTTCTCCTAGGTCGCCTCTTAAACTTGCACCTTGTCCTAGTGGCTAGGGCAATGAGGTTCCGAGGAAGGGAAGTAAACTTTAAGATCAGATATGTATTGCTCTGATGGATAATAATAATTAATGCGAAAAAACAAGATAGAATAGGAGAAAAACTACTAAAAGATATAGATTGCAGTTTCTTCAAGAATGCATCCATAGAACAACTTATCTACACAGAATCAAGAAGCCATATTAGATGCCCCTGCATTTTAAAATCAATTTTTCTTAATGCACAGATTGTAAAAATATAATCATTCACACACATCCAATATAAATAAAGAAAGAAAGAAAGAAAAAATTCATCCTCAAAACAAAGTTCAAGTTTCAAGATAAATAGATCGAAACTGCATAGAAATGAAAGCTAAATTGGCGAGGACAATGCCAATAATATAAATAATAGAATATAAATTTTAAGATAAAATCAATAATTTGAGGCGGATCTCTCACATCTTAACCGAACAGGTACAATCAAAACATATGTGCATTTGCATAATATGATTTCTTCAGATTAAACTAATTGATCGCAATCCTACACAAATTGAACGAGTCTCAAAATTTATTTATTCCAATGTTTAGATTAAAAAAGCAACAATAAAATACCTGATCATCGGAGTATCGCTCAGAGACAGAAGACACTGATCCAGAGCTCTCAGTCTCTCCTGGACTCTTCTCTGATGGTTTCCTTCTCCAGAGCCAACTCCTTCGATCCATTCCCCAATTCTCAACCGCCCCAAATACTCACCAAAACTCCGATTCAAAACCTAAAAACAATTCATCACCGACAAATTCACAAAAAGTCAAAAAAATACACCGTAAAAGTCCACATTGGAAAAACCCATTAACAAAAACCCACACTAAAACCTACCCATCTCCCAAAATCTCATCTTTCGAAGACCCATCAAAAGCAAACAAGCGATCGGATTGTACAAAGGAAACCCACCCTTTAAAAAGGATGTCAGCGAAGGGAGGGGGAGGATTTTGAATGGGATGTCACTGATTTTTCAATTCCTAATTGTTTGTCATCATTTATACATGTATAGCACTAAATTTATTTTAGTTAGTTTTTTAATTATTTTTAATGTTTACCTGTTTGAGAAAATTACGTGTGAAAAAGTATTTTGGCTTTTTCATGAGCCTTTTAATTATTTGGGTTTGGTGGGTGTGGAGATAGGAATCCGTTTCCCGCGCATAGAGCTGGCAATTTTTAATTTTCCTTTTTCATTTAATTTCTTTGTTTTTGGGTAAATTTCATGAACTTTCTTAAATATTCGGGAAAAAGGAACAATCTTTCTTCAGTCTTAGAAAAATGCTAATTTATTTTTAACATTTTAGACTTTCTATTACTTCACTTGATCCAATCTGGTATGTAAGGTATCTAATTTTTATTGTTTAATAAAAATTGTTGATGTCAGACATCAAAATTTAATATGGATTATGGAGAGTTTTAGTGTTTCTCAATCTTTTTTTATGGTTGATTATTGAACATGAGATTCGGTCTTGTACACAAACAATATGTAAAGTCATCAGAGTCTCCAGGGGTTCCTCCGACGATCAAGTTAGTATTGATCTTAAGTGGAGGAGAAAGTACGACTGCAGTGTGTTCTATTGCAAAAGATTATGTACTTCCATGCAGTAGACAGTGCACCTATTTATAGCAGATCTAGAAAGGCAATTGTGTAATTTCGACCAAGTCCAAGCAGTCTGCTTATTCGGCTGATACTTAATAGGTGTCGGCTACGGGTGATATGAGTTACCTTTGTGATTAATGCAAGGGTGACATGCAAAGTAAGATGCTGATGGGGTCCAATGAGTCATCGAGACTTTTGGAATCGACATAATAATGACTCTGAACATGCATTTAATGTGATGATGATCCGCTGTCAGCGAGGGGTTCGAGAAGGACCGCCTTTCATCTCAGTCTTGCAAGAGGGTCGAGAAAGGACGCTTTTCGACTCGGCCTCTCTGATGAAAGGGATTCTTGACTCGACCCAATGAACGACAATGCACAAAGTTAGTCTTTTTAGCAGGGTCTGAGTGAGGACGCCTTTTGACTCGCCCTTCTAGGAAGGGGCTGAGTGTTGATGTCTTCTGGTCTGATCTTCGTGGAGTCGGGTCAACTCGATGTATAGTTAATCTAGGACACACGCCATCTAGTGTGATTGGACTAACACTTGGTCATTTCTATGTTATAACAAAATTGTTATATATAACATATGTTTTATGAACATATATTTTAACCATGCAATAAGTGTATAGATCTTGAATTATTGTTATTTCTAGAATAGACAACATGTGCCCATAAAAAAAAAATCAAGGGTTAATTACATTGAGGTACCCTATAGTATGGGGTAATTGCAAAGCTAAATCTAGAGTGTCCGTATGTACATAGGTAATCCTAAAATTACTAAACATAATTATAAAGCTAAATCTATAATTTTGTAGCTTGTTAGACATCGGTACTTTAGTTCATATAACTATATGTATGGCTGGCTTTGGTTCTTTCTTGTATCTATGTCAACGGTGAATGACGGCAAGGCCCTCTCTTCACCTTCATGGATCCCTGAAAGAAGAAGGTCATACATCCCTAGTCATTTTGAACTAAGCCTACTGTTATCTAACATCAGGATACATTTTGTATCCAATTTTTGTACAAAACACTTTTGTTTTAATTGAACAGGATATATCCCTTGTTTTTCTGTCAAAAAAAAGGTGGTCCTTTTCCTATCATCTCATAGTAGAGGAGAGAGCGTCTTTTCCAGTTATTCATATAGATATAAATAAGTAATCTTGGAGTTATCTGCGTATAGATATAAATCAGTAATCTTGGAGTTATCTACGTAGCTGCAAAAGTTTTAATGTAATTATGATGTACCTTAAGATATAATTGAATGTAATTAATCCTAAATTCAATTAGATTTTCAAGAATCAATACTCAGCACATAGCAACAAATTTAAAATATGTCACAAAAATAAAATAAAATAAGAGAAATAGTTGCGTCTTTTATTTCCCCATAATTAACCCAGAGGCAATTCATTGTAAGATGTTCCCATGCTTTAGTTATGATTTTGTCAGACATGATTGCAATATTTTATGGTTATGGGGTTGATGAGCCATAAGAGAGTGTCCCTTGCCACATGTTTTGGTTACTAAAATATGATTTAGGGGCTGTATGGGAAGATAAATTTGCTTTGAAATTGACATAGTCTAAGCTTAGGACTAGAAAAATATTGTATGACATTTGGTAGATTGGTGCGATTGCATTTTTTTCCACTCCTTTTCTTTGCCTTGTAGTGCTTCAACAATATTTAAAACCAAAATATTTTTGTTGTTTTAATTATGGCAAATAATATTTTATACTAATGTTAGTTTCAACAAATAACTTGGTGTGAGTTGCAACTACCACAAATTCTGAAGATAACCCCTTCAGGCGATTAATTGATATCCTAAAGTGATATCTTGATAATTTGATAGCCAGAGTTTTCATATTGATGTTAATTTGGCAATTTGACACCTCAAAGTAATAAACTTTGCTCCTTATCCTTCCCAAACTAAAAACAAAAAATTAAAATCGACGGAAATTCCTTCTAGGCCCCCAAAATCCAACTTTCACTGGTGCACCCCCCCCCCCCCCCCCCCCCCACACCCTTTTTACAATGTGTTGTAGCCCTTTTTTTTTGAAAAATTAGTGTCGCAGGACCCCTCTCCCCAAGCTTCCAATGCAAACCTCTTGCAAAAATCCTGATTTTACCCCTCCCCTACACATCCTCTCCTCCTCCGTTCCCTCTCTGACCCCCCGCCCCCGCCTCCCTCTCCAACTCTGCCTCCCTCCCCTGCTCCGTCGCCAGCGCCTTCCAAGCGCCAACCGCCTCCCTCCCCGCTCGGCCTCCCTCCCCTCAGTACCCCCGCCTCCCTCCCCCGCTGCACCTCCCCCTACACCTCCCTCCTCCTCCCTCCCGGTCCCCTCTGCCCCCCTGCCTCCGGCTGCGCGCCGTCCCAAGGAACTTCGCATGGTCGGCGGTGATCATAGTTATCATGTTAACATGTTAACTATTACAGTTAACATGATAACTATTAATAGTTAACATGTTATCTATAAGAGTTAACATGTTAACAGTAAGAGTTAACATGTTGACCGTAAGAGTTAACATCCGCTGGTATGAGAAAGAGGAGGGTAAATTTGGGATTTAAGTCAGCTGGTAATAGTTAACATGTTATCTGTAAGAGTTAACATGTTAACAGTAAGAGTTAACATCCGCTGGCATGAGAAAGAGGAGAGTAAAATTGGGATTTAAGCCAGCTAGCATGTCTAATCATGAGCTGGCATGTCTAATTATCCGCTAGCATGAGTTAAAATCATGATGGATTGGCCTGAACACAATTTTTTCAAAAACAATGGGCTACAACACATTTAAAAAAAATATAGGGGGCTGGGGCACATTGAAAGTTGGATTTTGGGGCATGGAAGCAATTTTCCCAATTAAATTTGAAAAGAAAACAGTCACAATTACCTTTTTATGATAATCTTCTTAAACAAACCTTTTTTTTTTGGGCGCAAGTTGGGCTATCAACATGTCAAAGCATAAATTAGAGCATGTTTGGATTGGGGCAATAGGAGTTAAGGGAAGGTACGGGAGTCGGGACACATTTATTTTGTTTGGGAATTCATTTGAAAATTGAAATAGATAATGAGGGGGAAGCTAAGGTAATGGAGGGGGGAAAAACTTGAGATATTATTCCCCCTCAAATTGGGGTGTAATGAATGAGAAGGGAACTCTTAAAAACAAAATATTACCCAAAGACAATTTTGCCCTTCTATCAAGATGAGTTTCAAAGAGGTGATAATAAGGTCATTTATGTAAATTTATATATATATCCACTTATATTTCTTTAACCTTTCCAAATGGGATGAAAAATAACTTATCCTTAGCTCTCCTTACTAAAATTGCCAAACAAATTTTGTAAATTACTTTAATTTTCTCAACTTAACTTATCCTAAGCTCACTTAACTTCTCTTCGTTGAGATCTATAGCCCATCTTGCAAGTTCGAGCCGTAGAGTGATGGGTCTCATTTTATCATCCATTCATCCATATTTCTTCTCTTTCTCTCATATTATTCCTTTTTTTTTTCCCTCTTCAAAACTACCTACAATCTTTCTCCTAACGAAGAAGTTCACAAAAGGTCCCAAACCCAATCAAACGAACAAGTTGTTTCTACACAATGTGTCAGTTACAGATAAGAGGAGTGACAGTTAAACTGTACATTGCATCACTTATGATGTTACATCCGAAGTGCAAACAAAGAAGGGATGCTTTTCATACCATAATTAGATTCGCTTTCATCTTGATTCCATCTTCACCTAACTAACCATGTGCTTTTCGTAAGCTTGATTTGTTGAAAAGGACACTTGCTCTTTTTGCTTGGTAAGCAAATAAAGCCCGGGCAAAATTTTAAAACAGACCCATTTGCAAAAATATTCCCAAAAAAAAGACCTGTTTTGAAAATATTCGCAAAAAATGACCCAGTTTCAGCCTCATGTTGAAACTTGGTCGCTTTTTGCGAAAAATGTTCCCAAATTTCACGGGAGTTGAACTCCCGTGAAGTTTTTTTCAAAACAAAATTTTACGGGAGTTGAAGTCCCGTGAAGTTTTGTTATGAAAAACTTCACGGGAGTTCAACTCCCGTAAAGTTTGGGAACATTTTTCCCAAAAACCGACCCAGTTTCAGCACTGAGGCTAAAACTAGGTCGTTTTTTAAAAATAAGGAACATTTTTCCCAAAAACCGACCCAGTTTCAGCACTGAGGCTAAAACTAGGTCGTTTTTTAAAAATAAAGTGGAAACGGGTCTTTTTTTGGGAATATTTCAGCACTGAGGCTAAAACTAGGTCGTTTTTTAAAAATAAAGTGGAAACGGGTCTTTTTTTGGGAATAAATTTGCAAATGGGTCTGTTTTCAAAAATTGTCCAATAAAGCCCTTTCTATGTCAAATAAGATAAAATAAACGCTACATTTTTTGCCTATACGAGTGGTTTGTGCATCTCCATCATATATTTCATTTTTATGAATCGCTATAG